GAGAGAGAGAGAGAGAGAGAGAGAGAGAGAGAGAGCGAGAGAGAGGAGAGAGAGAGGGGAGAGAGAGAGAGAGAGATCGAGAGAGGAGCGAGAGGAGAGAGGAGAGAGAGAGAGAGAGAGAGAGGGTAAGGAAAAATGTGATTGATTTAATATGGAATGACCTAACCACCAAACCTAAATACGCGTGATGTTTAGTTGCACAAATTTGTATCGCATTGTGGCTTCTGTCCCATTACGACAGAAGCCACAATAGAAATCTGGTGGCTACGATGGCTCAGGCCAGCCGGCGGCGTATTGGACGGGCTTATGTCTGCAGCCACTCACCCGGCCGGCCTACAGCTCTCAGCAGCAAGTTCAACATTTCTTTAAGGGCTAAAAAGATGTGCGTTCTTAAAGTATATTTACTCTATACTTAACGCATACATTCTTTCAGAGTATGTAAACTATAAAATTGCAAGGTACTGCACACAAGCTGCTACACGCAACATTCAGTTTCACACTTTCACATCCCCATTCGACCAGCATGGGAAACGGCAAGTCTTCATACTGCGAATAGCATGGGTCGAGACTAAGTCAAGATATGTACCCGACGTGGCTGCCACACGAGTCCAACGCATTTTGACGGCAAAAAGAACGGATAATTGTGTTGGGAAAAAAATGTGGGCTGACATGTAAAGATGGTCACGTCTTCACGAGCTCCACTCTTGCATTCGCGTGTTTCGGGGCGTTATGTGGGATTGGGACGACATGTCGGTGACCAGAGCACGAGAAGACGTGAAACGAATTGCGCAGTGTAGGGGAATGTACCAGATACAATTCAATAAATGATTTCAGCAATGTCGACCCCGAAGGCGGCGGCAGCAAACTAAATAAGCCGTCAATGTCATCTTGGCTGAAACCGGCTTCGACTGCAATATGCCCAGCGAAATCTGTTCGTGAAAGCTTTATTGGCCTATAATTCATTTTTTGTGACCAATGTTCGCCCAGAGGACCTCCGCTTTTCAGAATGATTTGGTACCAGTCAGCAAAATCGTGACCACAACAAATCAATCGATGTGACAATGCCAGTAGCGCCAGCTCCACAGCCAGACTATTGGAAAGGAATGCAATTAGCTAATATGTACGAAAACTCACACCAGTGCCACCAGTGCCAGTGACGAAGACAGACTGGCCCCATCGTCATAAGCACTTGACTGTCCAGTTCTGAGCAAAACGTGTCGTTTCAGTTCATATCTGTGTTGTGGCCGTGGTACTGCCTGTCCGATACTGAGACTGCAGACTGTCCACGTTCCGTCCCGCTTCCTCTGGAAAACGGCTTCGACTCTTGTCTACTCCGCGTGTGCCGCAGATAATTCCATACACTTAACGCTTAAGCCGATAGACACGCCATTTTGTTTTCGCTCCCACAAATAAACAAACACGCCTAGCCGCAATCCCTTTAAAGGTCCACTTAGTCCGCCCGGTTATTCGCTCGGGTCGTTCCTTTCAATATTTATAGGTGCTCTCCAGCCTATTTCAGTGGGATCGGTAAGCAATTTTGAATTTACTGCTCATAATCGTTCGTTTTAATCGCTTTGGCAACTGACAAAGCCGAAATATTAATGCATACATCTCTCCTTTCTCTTAGTTATTCGACGAGGAATACGGATTACAGTGCTGCCTTGTCCTGTCTGAACTAGTGTCACCTCCGACAAGCGTATATGCGTATGATAAATGTATGCACAACAGTGAAGCGAGAAACCTTACCATTCTTCGCTTACGAAACCCCGGTTTATCGAAACAGGCATACTGTCATTGACAACTCCAAGCAAGAACATCCATCCCCTGGAGATCCAGTATGACAGAGGAAACTTGAAAGCTGGGGAATAAAAAATACCTCGAATGAGAGACTGCGGGCAAACGGCCGCGATCCATAAAGGCAGCCGTCAGCCAATAAGCGGCGTCCGCTGAGTGCCGATTGGCCAATTACCGCTCCATCCGGTGCCTATAGCTCTCACTGCCGTCGGTCTCACAGACCAGCGACGTCCGATGAATAATCGATGCTAGTTTGCGGCGCGCCGGGCGACGTTCATTTGCGGGAACGCGCCGCCCGCTGTCTGGCGCCGCTCTCCGAAGCACGCCGCGGCGACGTGCCTACGACTCCAGACGACCGCGCCGGGTCATGCTGCGGCGCCGCCGGGTACCGCAGCGGCCCGCCTGGCCGTCGCGTCACCACGCCCGCTCCAATTTCACCCCAATCGGCCTCGGCGATGACAAGTTTATAACGGCGGCGGCGCGCCCGCGGGAGGCGTTTCGCCCCGCGCCGCCAGCTGCGGAGCCGGCGGCGAGAGGCTCGCGCGAACGGCCGTCGCCGCCGCCCGCCGCCCTGGGACTGAGCCATAGAGTCGGCCAGTCGCCGCCGCGACCCAAAAATCAGCGCTGCCACTCCCCGAAATGGCCCGCGGCGGGCCGGCGCACGGCCCGTCTGCTTCCAAATTGCCCGTTTTTATGTTACTCCCGGGTTATGGATATGCGAGGTAACGTAGTGCGCACGCTGTAAATGGTGCCCAGTGATAGATGGTGCCAGTAGAATGGAAAGAAATCGATAATAATTTGGCAGCGGAAAAGGCCGAGAGCAGCAGCAATATGCGCATATTGCCGTGATGAGTTTGTCGCACCGCCGTCTGATAGACCAGGCTACCCGGCGTTTGCCGGCAGCGCCAGACGCCAATGCCAATCCCAGAGAGCTTGTAGGTCACCAATGATAGGGCGACTGCTGAGAGCGCAAGGCTCTGTGTCTGTCTGATAGCATTTTGTGTTTACAAAGAACGTCACCCGTTTTCAACGCTTCGGCGTACTTCACAGCTAATTCCCTTATGCAGTGGAACAATCAGGCAGCTTTTCAAATGGCATGCCACTGGAAAGGAGAAGCTTTGTGATTTGAGACCTCCCTCCACCTTCCTCCATCCATTTCTGTCATCTCAGACCTTCCTCCACGGGTCAAAACGGAGGTTTTTCTTGGGAATCTGCCCCAACGTTCAGCAGAGATGGTTTCGCGGTCAGCCATTGTTAACCTCAGGTTGTTACCAGACCCTGGCTCCACCGGCCCAGCAGAGCAGTTGCGATTAGACAGCTGATGTTTCGGTCCAGTTTTATCACCCACTCCCAGGGAAATCGCCTGAATAGTCTGGCTGTCGATCGACTGATGTGCTCAGCTGCCGCCACCTTCTGGACAGCTGGTGGTAATGTAGCGCAGACTGGAGTCCACTCGACCACAACGCCTCCGTACAGTGTCAATCAGGCCGATGTCTGCCAGGCCATCAAGACTTAGAGGTTTGGAGCCTAATGTTACGTAAACCATGACCGAGGTGCAGCCAGAATTGGCGACGGGTTGTGCTGCCATGATTGGCGACGGTGGTCTGTTTTTTTTACGGGCGAGTCGTAGCGCTATCCACGTAACCTTCACCCTGGGAGCGGACTAGCACACCGTATAAACGCCAATAGGTACAACACCTAACGTGACAAAGAGCTACCGCTAATGGCTTTCCTTGATGCCTTCAACAATTGTCTCAGCTACTTGCCACGCATTTCGCGCGACTATCCGTTAGCCTTGTTACTGAATTACGGCTGCTGGGCTCTATATGGCACTGCCCATGGTGATGTCTTTGAGATTTAAGTCCAGGTTAGTTTTCCCGATCACCAAGTTTTGGAATTATGTTCAAGGGGGGGGGGGGGGCTAAGACCCCATGAGCCGCCCCACCCCGCTTTGGCTGCGCCGCTGAAACGTGGTTATGTAGATGTTGTTGGTGTCTTGGTTAGACTGCAAATTGTCGTGATAAACAGCGATGGATACGGCTTTTGTACATGTATGCGACACAAGAATTCCCGACGCGGAAGCTTGTGATGCAACGTCGGATGAGTCACGAGTGATGGAAATTCCAATTCAAGCGGCTCGCACCTGTTGTACGTGACGTGCCTTTTTGTAGAGCATCCGTCGATGGCAGCGGATCCGTCGATCCGCAGCACGATCACGCGGCTGCAGCCAGCCGGGAGGGCCCCGCCTCCAGTTCAAAACGGACGCGGCGGCGCACGCTCAGGGTTCCACCCCGCCCGCTCGTGCCGAGACCGCCGGCCGCGGAGGGGAGGGAGGGAGGGGGAGTGTGCGCACACTTACCGATCGTCTCGAGCACACAGCTGCCCACGGAGGGGCTGTCCGGTGGCGTGGCCAGCGTGGCGACTGCTCGAGTCGGGGCCGACCCGAGCGAGCGTCACGATTACCGCCGGTCGGCCTACGGGCCGCCCCTCGCCCACATGGTTTCACGCCGTCTGTAACAGGAAGGAAATATCATTAGTGTCGCCGCGGCTGCGTGGCCTCGCGCTGTCTGGTGCAGGAGAAAATCATCGTGGTCGACGTGATGTAATGCCATGGACGTCATGGTTGACATGGTGTCATGTCATGAACGTCATGGTGAAAGTGGTGTAATGCCGTGAACGTCATGGTTGACATGGTGTAATGTCATGAACGTCATGGTGAAAGTGGTGTAATGCCATGAACGTCATGGTTGATATGGTGTAATGTCACGAACGTCATGGTCGACATGGTGTAATGCCATGAAGATCATGGTTGACATTTGTCATGACATCACTGTTCTGTCATGGTTGCATGCATTAGTCTCACGCCGTCTGTAATAGGAGGGGTCGTCACAGGCCACCGCACACCCACACGACCTTGAAATGCCCTACCATAAAGGGAACAAGTCAGCTCACATCGCGAAGCACCTCCACCAGGGCATGGCCGGTTTCCACACAGGTCACGACTTCCTTCGCCCCGGGCATGGCCCCACTCAGCTGCGGCGGCTGTGCTCCCTGGCCGGAAGGTCGCCGGCGGCCGGTCTGCCGTCCAAAATGGATGGCTGGCTGGCGGCAGTCTGCGTGGGCCGCCACCGCGGCCGTGTCGGCCGTGTTGTTCGGCTCGTTTCAGAAACATTTGCCGGCGCCACACTTGTCAGAGCGCGCAGGTTTGGCCATAAAAGCTTTGGAGTTATCGCAACGCAATGAATTTGCACAGAAAAGCCAAAATGGGGGCGCTGAATGGACATTATGGCGCCACTCCGCTATTGCTAAGGCATTAAGAGTTTGATGCTAAGGCAGTTTAGATTCACATGCTGAGTACACCATCTCCGTGTTATCTTGTCATCCCGTCAATCAGCAGCGCCCATTCTAAACATGATAAACTGATACACTTGCCTACACGAATGTCACGTTGCCAGATGGTATCATGGGGTGAAAGGGAGAGACCCAGGTCATTTCTTTCCCGGAGTCCCGAGATGAGGATGATGTGAGCTTTTTGCGCGGTTTTCTGAACTCGTCTTTTCTTAACATAAGGTTTTTAGCCATCACAGGCCTGCTGGTAACAGGCAAAACATATCATTAAATGCAATTTCAGCATATTTGAGCATGTCTGCGCACATTGCACCGAGTCACGAGAATAGGTCATAAAAGTTTGCCAGACAAGGAGGGTCAATGCCATTCATCAAGAGGTTTTCCTTACACTGTGGAACACAATAAATAGCAGCCTGCGGTAAGTGATGGCGTAGCTAATGATACATTTATTGCGTATTTCGGTACAGATTGGCTACATACAATTTCAGTTCACTGAGCCATGACGACCACTTGACGACCACATGACGACCACCAAGAGGCTTGTAGCCTCTTGGACGATTTGCCGATTTTCGTCTGGGTTAAATGCCAATTTTCTCACGTCCAGGGGCAGTTGTTTGGGCCTTCAGGCACAAACTTATCCCGTAATGTTAGTGTACATCCACGTAGGCCGCTTTGACAGATGCAGGACCGTTTCTAGACTTAAGAAGGGAAATTATCCGTGATGACCTTGTTGAACTTGATATTGGTCCCGGACCACTTTTTGCTGTATTTTGCAGGCCACTATGCAGCGTACGATTTTCTGCCATTTGGTATGGTGACTTACCATTCTACGCTCACAAAGCTTTTTCTGCTTCTTGTTCCCAAGCATTAAGGTTTGAATCATCTGGAGCGTCATTCGTTTTACTTCAATAAGTAAAATCGGATATGATTGGATGTCTTAAGACACAGATAATTTGGTGGCTTTTTGCTTCACGGCTGCAACTCAATAGGTGCAAAAAAGTAAAAAAAAAGTGCCAAGGACCGACCCTTCGCCAATGACGCGTGTGAAAACACCTCGCGGGCCGATGAGCGTTGGCTTCGTAACTTCCAGCTCAAATCTGATCACAGTGTGGTGCAGGGTAAAGGAAGCTCTCGTAAAAGTGTCCTTCCAAACATATTTTCTGTCGCTTAACGCGCGCCCGGATGGCCGGCTAGATACCCTTCGCTCGGGTGAGGGGGTTCAATTTGACTAAAAAAACTATCCCGTACAGCAAGCACTAGAGTTACAAAACAGGCTGGTTTTCACCTTGGTGTGACCTTCATATCTGATCTTGGGTCAATGTAATTTACTCATTGAACTGTTGTGTTGCCTAAGAAAGCATCTCAGAGATATATGGCTTCGTGTAACACTCCGTCGTTGGATCAGATTGAAAGATTCCCTACAAATCGCCTTCGCTGAAACCACGGCCTGACTTTGACCTGTCATTGGTCAACGACCTTATAAGGTACATCTAAATTTGTGATGCTAAACGATCCGCTATTCAATTGTCTACATGTATGCAAGATTTGGCGCGGCTACGCCGCGTCGTTCGGAAACTATTCTGGAAAAACCTTCAGGGGGGAGGGTCAATCTGACCTCTCACCCGAGCGCGTGTTAACTGACTGTGTTGGGGAAATATAATTATAACAAGAGAAAGGCTATCAGCGCGGCATGCTTGACTGCGTGAATTGGAAAGAAGTCATGCTTTCTTGTTGTGTCCCCATATACTTCGCTCTAAGGGGAGGTGGTTCAGACGCCTTAAGGAGTTTTTTGGGTTACGGCTCAAAGGTTTTAAGCGGCGCACTGAAATGTCAGGTAGTCAAGTTTACATCATTTTTACAAATGTTAACAGGTCAAGTTTTTTACCTCAACAGTCCATGATCTATGGCCTCCTTGCCGAGCTCATGTCAGCGACATTTTGCTAAAAAAGTGACTAATAACGCTTAGTTCTCGTAAGAATTAGTCTATTGAACGGCGTTCTGATCAACGCAGCGCATCAGGCCGGAAGGTAACGAAAAAGAGAGAGAAAAACAATACATCAGATCTCAAGGTCATACAAGTTCAATAACGGGGCACTATCTTTATGGGGTGTGTCGTGTTTGTTACAACCACTGGGATGAGTGTGAATAACATCATGGAGTGAAAGGCCTAATCGGACCGACAAATACCGGCAATGATGCACAACGTTTCAAAATGCAAACCTCCAGGCCCAGCTAGGTTGATGGCCTTTGGTGACCCTTGAGTTTAAAATGTCGTTCATAGCTAGAAGAAGCAAAAGCAATACTGTTGGGTAGGAAGTCAATAAACCGACGTCTTACATTACCAGAATGAATATCACCAGGGGCAAGATATGAACGGCAATCGGGTCAGTGACCTATGATAAACAAAATGTGACAGTGTAGCACCCCTTTATAGATGGTACGACATTGGAAGACCAGAAAGCGACATCCTTTGGTGACCAAACTATAGCGACCACAGAAAGGCCTCGTTACAATGAATTGCTGAAATACTTCGAGTTCATCGGTGTTTTTCGGGCAGGGTTATGCTAAAACTACCCTAGGTCACTGAGCTGACCTCACCTAGACTTTAAAATGTCGGGACAGGTGAAATTGGGATAAAATAATACATAGGAAATGGCATGAGACTGGCATAAGTTGTTCCGACAGCTATTTCCGAAAAGGTCATGCAAAGGGCGGGTATCTCTGATCCCGCCACTTCCCCTCAATGCAAAGGGGCCATTAAAGTTCTCGTCGGTTATTCTAAGCGTTGGCGTAACCACTGGGAGCAGGGGAAAACGTTTCCTCTCCTGCATTTTCATAAAGTCTGACTTTATCCTAGCAATTTTGAACGCGCAATGAACATTATCCGCATTGTTTATTCAAGAATACCATATTCGGGGCAGGCTGTCCACAGCCCCCAGTTTCACTTTCAAATCCTGGTTTGCACCTTCCCAATTTCATAGAAATGGCCGGAATTCATCCATAATTTTATACAGCGTTTCGTGGAGCGCATGCAAAAAACTTGTTTTGCAAAGCATTTCGGGTAATTACTTCCCACAAACCGCAACATCATCATGAGGTCATGTTCCGCCACCAACCCAATCACGTGACCCGCTGCTCTCGTGACTAATGAGCGCTCATTGGCTGTGGACCGGCCAGCCAGCCATCGGACCAGATCCGTGGCGCCGCACGTGTTTATTTGCCGCGGCCTGCGCTCGTTCAGCCGGCGGCGAACGGTTGCCTGGCAACGGACGAATGTTGCTCGGGGTCGCCGCGTCTAAATACGCGCCCACTCGCTCCCGGTGCGTCGTAAAAGTGCTGAGCGCGCTGCATCGCGCCGGCGATTGACGACCAAGAGAAGCCTGTGACGGACGCCCGTGTCATGTGAGCCGCTGTGAACGGAGACAGTGGGCAGGCAGGAGATAGACAGAGACAGGAGCCAGTTGCGCAGTAAAATACAGACAGAGGCAGCAGACAGTTGCGCAGACAGGAGACGGACAGAGGCAGGAGACAATTGCGCAGACAGGAGACGGACAGAGACAGGAGACAGTTGCGCAGACAGGAGACGGACAGAGACAGGAGACAGTTGCGCAGACAGGATACGGACAGAGACAGGAGACAGTTGCGCAGACAGGAGACGGACAGATGCAGGAGACAGTTGCGCAGACAGGAGACGGACAGAGACAGGAGACAGTTGCGCAGACAGGAGACGGACAGAGACAGGAGACAGTTGCGCCTCGCAGCGCAGGCGCGAACAGAGCGGCTTCGCGGCCCTAATTTGAGCAACATCGCTGCTTTGTTACAAAATCGTACCGTATCGGTACGGTCTTCACGTGGTAATAGTGGGTGAAATAGTTTGCGAATGTCTAATCCCATATTCAATAGCGAAGTTGAAAGAGAGTCGCGGAGAACCTTAATAAATAGCTATGTTTAGGAAAAGGCTACGCGGCTTGAACCTATTAAAGCATTTATTGAATAAGAAATGCAGGAAGTTGTTTTAAGCTCCCCACGATCACTTGATATTTTTCTTTTCGTTAGACGTCTCCTCTCACTTACCCATACTCTTCTGCAACTTACGTTGTATGTT